GAAAACCACGGGCCTTTTTTGGCGGTACCTTGCCAACGGGGGATTTTTATTAATATCGAGGGTGTGTACACGGTACAAGAGTTCGGCTCGGAAGCCATTAATGGTGGAGCTAGAAGCTCTTGAAGAAGGAAAAATATACTCTAAAAATATCTAGAGAGAAAAAGTAGCAGGAGAGGATTGAAATTGCCCCCCCCCTTAACATTGAGGGGGAGTCCTCCTTTTATAGGGGGGGAGGGGAAGCATATTCGGAGAATATTCTCTTATTCCTCCATTTTATTAAACAAGTCCGGTTTGACTGTTCTTCATAAATAATTGGGAAATGTGGGCCGAGCCACATATTATTTCCCATCAAGAAGTCCTCCACTTTTTTAAGTTGTGAGAATCATCAACTTAAAAAAGTAAACAAGTCCTCCGAGTGATATCTTCAGCCTTCGTACTTTGGATTCTTGGCCGGTTGATATTATTGCTAGTCCTCCGAGTCTTAATTAATTCTTTTATTTCTTCAATCAGAAGTTTTTCCTGCAAAAAATAATATGTACAACAATTTTTTTGACCGGCCTATGCCGTGCTCAAAAAATTATTATCTTTACCGAGGAGCTCGGTGTTAGGGTGGTTAAAATTCACGTGAATAATTATCGTAACAAGAGCAATGTCAGTTCGATAAAGCAACGATGCTTCGAGTAGTTATACGACACCGGAGTTAGTACGATGAAGCGGCGGTGCTTCAAGTAGTTATTTCGTCGAGACCGATGTTAGTACGGATTAAGTAAACGATACATAGCGAAATTAGTATATCGAAGTAATCGATGTTACTTAATACGAATTAAGTATGTTGCAGCAACTTTGTCAAAGATCAATGTTAGCCCGGCTAACTGATGCAAATATCTTCATGTCATGTAGAGACCACTTCCGGAGTGCATTGCTCAAAGGGCCTGAAGAATCGGGCGTCCCCGATAAGGGCTCAACTGAGCCACCGGTGTACCCAATTCGATTGGGGTCAGACTTACGAGAAAATATGTGCAAGACCGGTGTGTATACCATTCTTGGCCTGTCTCGCGCACAAGAATGATATTTACCAGCGTGCCAGGCCGGGCCTGTGTCACATATTTTATATTTTTTTATTATACTGAGCGAGACCGGTGTAGTAACCAGCGTGCCAGGCCGGGCCTGTGTCTCAGTCTTCCTCTTTTTTTTAAATACTGAGCAAGACCGGTGTTGTAACCAGCGTACCAAGTTCGGCTTGTGTCTCAGTCTTCCCTTCGAATTTGTCCATAGGGCATGGGTAAATACCCAAATTATTGCTCCATCATGCTTTGCAATGAAACAACACCACTTATTAGTGGTGGGGCCATGATAAACAAGTGGGGGCTTAATTTTCCCTCTTCTCGTGATGTTCAATGCACATGCATATCTCATCAACATAATAATTGATAAGATGTCCCCAGCATCTCTCCACTTTGTATTCTTGCATATGGCTTATCACTTTGTATTCTTTTCTGGTTTTCTTTTTGATGCCTTCGAATCTTCCGGTCCCTTCTCATGTGTCTTTCACTTAAAGTCCAACATAGTGCCTTCCACTTTTGAGAATGGACCCGAATTTACATTTCATCTTTGAATCTTCCCTAGTAATGACAGACTTTAAGACTAGTGGAAATGGAGACCTCTAGCGGTGAGCGATCAAAGACGGCACCCGACAGTAACAAAAATGGAACCAGCGGCGTGCACACCACCAGGGTCTGTTAGCCACAAAGTGGCGGAAAACGCTAACAAGACACATCGGAGTGGTGGCGGTAGGTATGTGAAGCTTTTCCAGTGGAGATGGCGGCCAAGGGCGTGGGTTTGCTCTTTGCTATAGGTGCGGTGTCAGATCTAAGAGACAATAGTGGCGGAATTATGTGGCCACAATGGATGTTGTTTCTGTAGGCGGCCGCGATCTCGATCCACCGGACGCAGTGGACTTCTCCAGCGCTTCATCATCGGAGCTCGACGATGCCTGCTCCGCCGCACGAACCGCTGCCGGTTCCGAATTCCGATCTGCCCCCACCCGGCGCTCAGGCGCTGTATTCGCCGCTGCCAGCCCTCCTGGATGGGGAACTTGTAGCTGCATCAATTTCCTGCAAAATCAGGTCTGATCCTGCCGTGTTCCGCCTGGACACTCCAGCCGAAGCCACCGAGTATTTTGTTGTCGTCGGCCGCCAGAGAAGTGAGCCCCGTCAGAATCGCAGCCTTGCTTGGATTACCAGTTGAACTCGTTGGTTACATGTAACCGACTCGCCGATTTCGAAGAGGGCAAAGAAGTTCTGATGCCGCATAGTACGGAGTAAGAAATTGTGCTGCCAGTATGGGAAAAGACACCACCCTTTTTCTTCTTTTTGCAAAACTCCAGAACCAAAACACATGTTCTGTTTCCAAAGATAATACTCCCTTTCTCTGGCTTCCTTTTTTTGACACTCCAAAGCCTCGTGACCCTCGTCTCCCTCTTCTTTTTTACAACTATGACTCTTTAGGTTGTGCAAGATTGCCGAACAAAAATGGAGCTTTTTGTTCGGGTCCCACGGTCGGCGCCAAAATGATGGTGTAAATTATCGACCGGTATACCGTTTTTAGCCCGGCTAAAACGATAAACTAGTCTAAAAATACACCAAAATATAAACACGGGGATTTTGACGTGGAAACCCAAATCGGGAGAAACCACGGGCCTTTTTTGGCGGTACCTTGCCAACGGGGGATTTTTATTAATATCGAGGGTGTGTACACGGTACAAGAGTTCGGCTCGGAAGCCATTAATGGTGGAGCTAGAAGCTCTTGAAGAAGGAAAAATATACTCTAAAAATATCTAAAGAGAAAAAGTAGCAGGAGAGGATTGAAATTGGCCCCCCCTTAACATTGAGGGGGAGTCCTCCTTTTATAGGGGAGGAGGGGAAGCATATTCGGGGAATATTCTCTTATTCCTCCATTTTATTAAACAAGTCCGGTTTGACTGTTATTTGTAAATAATTGGGAAATGTGGGCCGAGCCACGTATTATTTCCCATCAAGTAATGTACACCATAAAAACAAAGGAATTGGGAAAAAATCAATGAGATATGCACACGGATAAGTACATGTGAAAACAAAATGCATCATAAAATAGAATTAGTTGCATCATGCACAAACCAAAACAAAAACACGATAAAAATATTATATTTGAATTTCCCCAAAATTAACCATCATATGGGGATTGAAATTGGTTATTGCGAGAGTTGATCTTAATCCATGACACATGTTTGAGATCTTACCAAAACATGTCTTCCCCTTGTTCAATTTCAATTATATATATATATATATATATATATATATATATATATATATATCATGTTTATATATTGGAAAAATTCACAACAATACTCCGACAAATTTTAGATTCCAAAAATTAATTACTCCCAGAATTATTCTCTTTTTATAAAAATACTCCACTCACCACCTTACTTGCACAATAAACTTGTGAAATATCTAATAGATTTTTAAAGTGATAATTTGAAAAAAATTACTTTTTTTGGTTCTCATAAAAAATAAATTATTTATTAATCCTTTAACTCGTCTTGGTTGAGACGGATTTGGCGGCTTTAGCCTTCTCTATTTGATCAAAATACAAAATAACCAAATACATTTCACTCTACACCTTTAAGCAACTTTATCATATTATCACTAATTATAGATTATTTATATGTTACATTACATAGATAAATTTTTTGCATCGCACGCATTAGAATAGTTAAGGTGCAAACATAAATGCATTTTTTTTTAAATGCATTCTTAAGACAACGAAAATCGTGCTTAGGGAAGGTGGGGAAGTGGCATAATTCGGGAACCCTAGCCCCTGCACCACATACCCGAAAAATGTCATCTTCACTGCTTAAAACCTCGCGCGGCACATGGCGACACCTCAAATTCTTCTCACTAAAATGGTTCCTCTCCAATCCTCTGCACCCCAACCCCAATCCCCGAACCCCATTGTTGAACTTCAATTGCAGTTTTCATCAATGCAAGAACGATCGGTTCTCTTCATTTTCCCGCCGTCAACTGGATTCCCCGTCTGGGTCGGGCGAGAATGTTCGATTCTTCGGTTCGCAAGTTGGGTTGGCCCAGCCGGATGAGCCCTCCACCAGCGATGGGCTTACAGTGGAGGGAATCATTAGAAACAATTGGAGTGTTCTTGATGAGAGTCAGAGCGATTGGAGGAGTCATGCCTCTTCCATTGCTCTGTCCATTCAACTTATCAAGAAACGCCTCAAGGTATACGCTTAAAGTACTGTTGAAATGTTTTTCTTTTGGTTTGATTAATGTTTAGATGAGTTTTAAATTTCTGGAAGTGCAATTGTACCAGTATTTAAATTCTGCTTCGAAAACGAGTTAGTTTGGTAATTTGTGATATATAGAGCAATGAATGCAAGGATTTTTTCACAGACTTTTTATGTTCTGATGGGGTTTATGCAGTTTTTTAATTGTGGCTTTCAAGTTCCAACACGTTTCATGCTCCCGTTTTAATGTATTTTTGGGAAAAACTGATATGGCTCAAGAGTCACATCAATGCCCAGTTTTCCTATGATCATTGAAAATAAATGGTTATAGCTCACTCTTGCTTGCATTTTGTTGATAGTGGAGGAAGCTGCTTGATAGTATTGAAGTTCTGTCAGCTGAGCTCAACAAACCAGATATTTGGGAGGATGCTGTTAAAGCAGGAAAGTTAAGCAGGGAACATGGTTTTCTGACAGGTAAAATGGAGGAGGTCAGGGCATTTGAGCAAGAGTTGCTTGAACATATCGATATGATTAAGCTTGCTCAGGAAGAGAATGACAAAGATTTGGAACTGGTATGTCCAAAATTCTTCTTTGCATTGAAGAATTGCTTGGACATATCGATATGATTAAGCTTGCTCAGGGAGGCATGGTTTTCATTATTGTATGTTTCTCATAACTTTGTTTACTAAGAAAGCCAATATAAAATGGGAAAATAAGTCAATACTACTTGAAAGTTCTTGAAACAGGTTTCATTATCATATGTTTCTCTAAGAATCTTTTTCTGACTTTATGTTTTAATTCTTTCCACTATAACCTTGGTCTCTCTCTTTCCCTTGTTTTCTTACTTTCTATTCAATCCTTGTCTGTTGTGAGTAGCTTGTTAAGTAACATAGATGAAGAATATAAGGCTCATAATATGGAAGCACATGAAAATAATGATGTTTTTATTTTACAAATTTTGACGATAGTGCAGTTAATGATGCTATTGTTTTTTTAAGGATATTAGTCAGAAATTTAGAATCTTTATTGTTAAGCACATACTTGTTACGGCGGATAGGCAAGGCCGGGCACTAGAGTACCTTCGAATCGCCTAGGTGATTAGGCGTCCGCCTAGGCGTCCATTAGGCGAGTGCAATATGGCAATATTATATGTATGTATGTATATGTATGTGTGTGTCTATATATATATGTATGTATGTATGTATGTATGTATATGTATGTGTGTGTCTATATATATATGTATGTATGTATGTATGTATGTATGTATATACATGTACATGTACATACATACATACATACATATACATACATACATACATACATACATACATACATACATACATACATACACATATATATATATACATACATACATACATACATACATAGATATATATATGTATACATATATATATATATATAATGCATACATAACGGTCAGACACATGTTACTTTTTTAAAAAATAGAGTTCCTCATTGCCTTAGGTGTTTTCAGGCGAGATTAGGCGAGTCCATAAAACCACCTAGGCGTCACCTAGGCTATGCCTTGACAACTATGGTTCAGCATCTTCCAACTGTTTAGTTTTTATGATGGTTCCACATGCATATTTTATCCTTTCTTATCTGATTTACTTACTTTTTTCTCCTTTTTAAAAAAATACAATGCATGTTTTCGTTTCAACATTTCACGTTTTTTATGCCATTGAACTATCATCATTATCTTCATCATCATCATTTTATTTGATATCAATGAAGGAGTTATACAATGGTATATTTAGACAGAACGTCTTTCCCACTGTCTTGGTTGTTCTATATATATATATATATATATATATATATATATATATATATATATATATATATCATGCCCAACTTGATACAAAGACCAACAATTTGACTCCCATTTAGTGCTTTAGTAAACAAGTATCCTAATTGTTCTCCGATCTTCGCAGATGCATTTGAAAATATTCCTTTTTTATCTTTTCTCAGACAAAGTGGCAATCTACTTGAATGTGCTTTGTTTTCTCCTGAAAAACTGGATTACACACGATATGTAGATCCTCTATAGTATCTCACAATTTTTTTGCTGGAATTGAAGCTTTGAGATTGGCCTCATTCAGTATGTTGCATGATGATATGATCTCACACACAGATTGTGTCATAACATCATACATATTCAAATTCTGCGCTTGAATGTCAACATTTTGGTCCGCTCTTTGCTTTTCCATGGTGCTAGATTTCCACCAACAAAAACAAAGTAATCAGTAGTGGATCTTCAATTTTTCTTTGATCCGGCCCAACCAACATCTGCAAAACACTCAATTCTAGTATTCCCATGATTTTGGAATACAATAGCATGCCCATGAGGTTCTTTCAAATAGCAAAAAGTCCTTGTAAGGAAATCAAAACGTCATTTGTCAAATCGAATGATCAACTCACAAATATCTTCACCAAGTGCTTGGCCTTAAACCACATACATGGGAAACAAGATTGGTGCCTAAGATATACTCCGTATATGCACTAGCTTGAGGGGGAGTAGTGATTTTTGTTTTTCACTCCGTTGCTTTCATCTGTTGTGTAGTTCACTGTATAGAACCCTCAAATGGAGGGTTTGATTTTTGTCAGTTTTTAAGTTGCTCCTTTAAATAACAGATCTATGAGGGCATTTTAGATGGTTTTCATCATTATATTCAAGTTTACCTTAATATAATAACTTCAATGGCAAAATATGTGGATTAAGGACAAGAAAACATTTATAGAACAACTGTTTACTATCACTATGAACTGCAAACAATGCTTTTACTACAATTTGTGATCTTTATTGCTTAGTTATTGGCATGTAGCCTGTTAAATGAGAAGGAACGTGTCAAATGAGATTGGGGAATAATAGCACATTGATGGTTAATGTTATAGGTTTTGATAGTAAATGCATTGTTTGATTGTGAAGGATTAAAAACAATCCACCTTGGTTAGGAATAGAGACAACACCCAATGAAATTATGGCAAATTCTTTGCATGGTCTATAGGTTCATACTCATTTTATGAACCTTAGGACCATGAAAGCCCATGAAAAGTGTGAGAAGGTCCACATTTTACATGTGGACCTTAGGACCACAGAAGTGCAACTCCCCAATGATAATGTTTTTTAATGCTATATACTGCTATTGACTCTTTTACAGTTGTAGTAACTGTCCGTACTCCATACTTTCTCAACCTAATGATAATGTTTGAATTGCTTGATTGGTTTAAGAGGGTATCTAATTTCGGACTTAAAGATTACAAGCATAATACAAGCTTCAATTTTAGTTACTAATTATTGATTAGTCTTGAGATTGTAAAATGTGCTCACGTTTGGCATTTCTATCTACTCTTTGGGTTACAGGAATCACTAAATGCATTAATGAGGGTTAGAAGAAGCCTGAAAGAAAAAGAACTTGAAGCTTTACTGTCAGGGGAGCATGATTCTTGCTCTTGTTACATTGAGGTCATGCTAAATTGAAATTTCAATTGCTCTTTTCTGCTCTGACAAAATTGTCAATCACTCAAAAGTTATTTTCTGTTAATCAGGTTCAAGCTGGTGCTGGTGGTACTGAAAGCAATGACTGGGCTTCAATGGTCATGCAGATGTATAAGTTATGGGCTCAGCGTCGAGGATATGAAGTTACTATAGTGGACGAAATGCCTGGTGAGGTCGCAGGAATAAAGGTGTATCTTCTTACTGCATATTTCTGCCATTTCTACATCTAGAGTATTGGTATTGGTCAAAATCGTGAATGTAATTATCATAGTTGTGAATGGCGAATGGCGAGTGGCGGGCGAGAGGTTCTTTTTTATGGCGAGAAGCGTGGCGAGCGGCGGGCGGTCAAATGGCGAACATTATATATATTTATATACATATATATACATACATACATACATATATATATATATATATATATATATATATATATATATATATATATATATATATATATAGTTTAAGTCCAAACTTTTAGTCTTAACTTTGTATCAAACATAATTATCAAAGTAAAACATGAGTTATTGCTGAAAAACTATTATACAAAAAAATGAAAAAAATATATCTAAGTGTGAGTGTGACCTGTGAAGTGAGCTGTAAAGAAACAATAACCATTCAAAAAAAATAAGAAAACAAAAAAAAGTCTGAATGACCTGCGAAGTGTGGAGTCTTACTTTCGCCGGCTTTGACTCTGCCTCTGCGCTGTTTAGACTCGCGAGAGAGAGAGAGAGTTCACTGCGAAGAAGTGCGCTGTTTGGACTCGCGAGAGAGACGAGGCTCTGCGCAGAGTCGGCGAGGAGAATTTCGATCGACGGCTAGAGGGCAGAGGCAGAGGCTCGGCAGTTGAATCGATGAAGTGTTTCGATCGAGTACTGATATAGGTCAGGTCAGCACGAAAAATTTTTTTTTTCAGTTCTTTTTGGGAACTGGACGTAATTCGCATCTATCGCTTGCGGAAAGCGGTGTCGCAAACCGCAGGTACCGCTGGCGGATACCGCTCTAACCGCATTTTGCGGAGCGGTCCAGACTTCTACCGCAGTCTACCAGCGGTGTTTCGGTATCCGCGGAATCCGCTCTTACCGCTCGCGGTAAGTCAACTATGGTAATTATGTCATGATAATTCTGAAAAGCATTCTAATGGAAGAGTTGCAATTTGATCTGTTTTTCTTGTGACTATGCAAAGTATAAACTGCGATTCTGCTTGTAGCCCTTGTCATTTCCATTTCTGGTCTTGTAACTTTTCACCTTAGCATTATTCGCATGTTTGGTTAAATTCTGACCTTACAATACTACTGGTCTTCAGCGTGCCACGATTAAAGTTGATGGTGAGAATGCATTTGGATATGCCAAAGCAGAAGTAGGAGTACATCGCTTGGTACGCATATCACCTTTTGATAGTGCCAAGCGAAGGCATACTTCATTTGCTGCAGTTGCTGTGATACCCATTGTTGGCGATGGCTCTACAAGAGTCAAAATTAATGAATCTGACCTTCGGATTGAACGGTTTCGGGCAGGAGGAGCTGGCGGTCAGCATGCGAACACAACGGATAGTGCTGTGAGGATTACTCATATTCCTACAGGAATTACTGCTTCTTGCCAGAATGAAAGGTGACACATTTACAATTTTACTTATTAAGCCACCAAAACAAAGAAAAGCTTAAATGGAGTGAGTAATTAAGAGCTCTTAGCTTTGCTTTTATAATCAAAGGTCACAACATCAGAACAAGGCTTCTGCCATGGCCGTGCTTCAGTCTCGGTTGGACCAACTTGAGATGGCTCGCCAGGCTCAAATGAATGCCCAACACACGCAATCACTCACGGATATTAGCTGGGGCAATCAAATACGCACCTATGTACTCCAAGTATGTGTTCACAAAACAGCTATTCTTATTGTCATGGTTGTCAAGTCGTCGCCTAGGCGTCGACTAGTCGGCGACTAGTCGTCCGGTCGTTTTGGAGAAGGAGAAATGCTGGGCGACCAGCGCCTATGGCCGACTAGGCTTCTAAGCGCGCTAGGCGACGCTTAGCCGCGACTAGGCCACGCCTAGTCGGAGAAAGAAATCCGCAGAATTTGACCTAGTGACCCGACCCAACCCGACCCAAATTTCATTAATTTTAAAATTTTTTANTTCAGTTTAATTTTTCAATTTTTTTCTGAATTTAATTGATATTTTGGTTTTGTATTTCTTATTTTAATATTTTAAGCGTTCTAGGCTCTTGTTAATTATCTTTCTTGGTGTGTTATTTTTCAAGATTGAAGGATATTTGCTTGTTATGTACTCTTTGTTGACTTTATGTGCTATCTTTAAACATAAATTTGCTTTGGTTATGGTATTTTGACATATAAATATATATATATATATATATATATATATATATATATATATATATATATATATATATATATATATTCTTGTTGGGTTAATGTAGATATATATAATGTTAAAAATTTCAATACTAATTATGATTTGTCGACTAGTCTACGACTAGTCGCCTAGTCCACTAGTCTCCCCGTCACCGACTCGACTCGACTTGTCGACTTGACAACCATGCTTATTGTTGATGAGTTATTATTATTATTATCCAAGAAACCATCATTAGGTGCTGATGAAGCAACTTCATATCTTTTCTTGCAGCCATACTGCATGGTCAAAGATCTACGAACGAATTATGAGGTTTCGGACCCTTATTCCGTTCTTGAAGGTGATCTTGATGATTTTATCTTGAAGTACCTCTCAATATCTTTTGATACTGCAAACAAATGACCTCTACCACAAGTCATCTTGATGGTAATGCAATGACCATTAAAACAGACGGGTTGCCCAAGGTCTTTTTAGATTATTACTTTTTTGTATATAATTATTATGTCTTTGAGTCATTGGACAAAATAGTCCTATATTTCTTAGTTTTGTATCTAATTTTGAAGCGAATAATGTGTCTCAAGTGGTGTTTACATCCATCCAACGCATGTCGTTTGGAAGCTTACTTTGTGGTTTCGAGCCTTCATCCTTCTATAGAAGCAAGCAATTGACCGAAAAGTTGAAGATGATGAGGGAGTTGAACCACATTTTCTTTTAGTTTACAATGGCATACTTTATTGGAGTTATGGACTTTTGAACTGAACAGATAAATAATTCTTTAATAAAGTCAGAATATGTTGTGATTGTGTACTGCTGTGCAATAGGATTACAAGAAGAGTGACTTGTACTTGGTATTTTTTGAATTGGACGCTAGCCTCTCTAAGGCTGTCCGTGAGCTGAGGTGGCTGTGGGCATGGCCACGGAAGTGGGGAGGTCAGAATTTTTTTTTTCATTTAATTTGTGTTGTAATGTTTATTTTGTCCATAACTTTTTGTGTGTAAATCATAACTTGATAAATAATATGCCGTTGAAATTTTTCCACTAGATCTACCCATACCCAATGAGACTAATATTGTATATATAATTTTCATGTTATGTCTCAGTTAAGTTTTTTTGCTCAAACACTTCAAAATTGAACGAACTGTGTTTTATTATTATATTTTTGTAACAAAAACAATTTTAAGTTTAATTTTTTATATCTTGTTTTTTTTCCTTTTTAAACCCAACTGTTTTATGTTTTTTATGCCATAAAAAGTACTAAAAGAAAAGGTGAAATTTGCACTAAATAGGACTAAAATATAAGTCAATTCCTAATGTAAGATTTTAACTTTTTTATTTTCTAAATATGACTTAATAATGTCTAGTAGAAGGAATAATGTTCAATAATAATTGACATTTACTTTAATAATGACTAATTGATAATGACCAAAGGTCCTACATTGGGAAATAAAAACATATGGTCCTATATTAGAAAAATTATTACTCCCTTCGTCCCAAATTATAATGTCTGTTCACTATTCACAGGGTCAAACTTCATTCACTTTCTTTCTCTATTTTCGTTAGCAATTTGATAAAATAAAATATTATTGTCAGTACTAGTTTTGTAGATCTTTTGATGTAGTTTTTTAATATGTAATTTTTATTTTTTAATTCTATACCATTTGTCATATAAAATGGTTTGAAAATAATTTCAGTCAAACATCGTAAATCGAAACAGACGTTATAAAATGGGACGGAGGTAGTATGTTTTAGTCCTATTTAGGTAAATTTCTCTTTTTATTGACTGTGATATATAAAATAGTATAAAATAAATAGGACCAAAAAGTGAACAATCAACGAGGGGACGGCGATTTATCAGCGATGCGGAGGGGACGATGACCTATCAGGGATGCGGACCTTCTGCGTTCTTTTTTGTCCAGAAAGCGAGACAAGTGACGAAGGAGTTTTTAGATATAAATCGAAGCGGCGGAATGTAGCGACAGAAAAAACCCGTCGCTAAGTCAAAATTTACTTAATTGGCGTCAGGCGATTGTTTTTTTCCGTCGCCCATATGACGACAGAATGATTCTGTGGTTGTTTCCGTCGTTATATGGGGCACGCACTACTTCCCATGTATACCTAACGATGGACCTATAAATCCATTGTTAAAGCTGGTAGGCAAGTACATCCCGTCGCTGTTTCCGTTGTTATTAGCGTGAAAATGCAATCCGTTGTCATTTTCTGTCGTCGTCCCTTTGGCGTTTTCTTGTAGTGAGTGGCGAATCCCTGCGTTGCTTCTATTAAAATGGGACCACGGTCACGCTGCACGGTGACATACATACAAACCCCATGACCCATCTCTTCTTATATTCACCCTGTGGTGATGGGTTGCCACGGACAACACTTTGGAGTTGTATGAATTGCTCCCAGCCAAACCAAACCAGCCACACATCTGCAGATCTCGAGCTTCATATTCACGTTCTAATTTTAATCAGTATGATTCTTATCGTTTATGTGTTCTTTACCAGGCCTTGATTGAAGTAAAAATAACAAAAACCATACAAAATTAATGAAATAAATAAGGTAATCAATAAAAATTAAACTAAAATTGAAAAGAAACAAAATAAAAATATAATGAGTAGAGTGCTCTAACATTTTATGCACTATACAGAGTACTACTTTTTTGAAAGAACGGGTAAAGTTAGAATTATTCTACATAATTTTTTTCTAAAAATAAGTAGTACATTGATGATCTGTATAGCGTGTAAAATGTTAAAACCCACCACTCTATTTTCGTTATTTTTTATATCTATTTTTTTTATTTTTGTCCAAAATTAGACTAATCTTTAAAAAAATAGAAATTTAAAAAAATAGAAATTATGGAGTTAGAAAGTAATTTTACAAATTAAAATTTCCAAAAAAACTAAAAAACGAAAATTCATCGAAAATAATCATAACTTTACTTTTGTTGAGCAAAACAGGCCGTTTCCATTAACTCGCCGTTAGTAACATAATGGCGACTCAAAATTTGCAAACTTTAGTAAAGTTGATATTATTATGCATCACCGTTAAAGGGGAGATTATTTTTGAAAGATCGGATAAAGTTGAGATTATTCTCAATAATTTTTTCTTTTTAAAAACAACATTTCCCTTTTTTTTTCTTTTCGCCACCCATACAAAGAACGAACTTTTCTTTCCAAAAAATATTTCATTTTTTGTTCTTTTTTTAAATTTTTTGGGTACATCATTTATTAAAACTACCTTTTGTTGACTTAATGGTTTCTTGACTTTCTTTTTCTAACTTTCTTAATTTTCTTTGCCTAGATATTGCGGGGTGATTGATTCTATTTAAAACCCAGAAAAGACCGCTACTAGTAAAGTTGTAAGTCAAGGTTTTACATTTTGACCTCGTCTCCCGAACTAGGAGGGAGCAGAGGACGGAACGGTTTGGGTTATATGTCGTACCGCAATCTGTTCCGTTTTTTTCAAATGATTTGGAACATTTTGAACCATAAGCTTATTCCTCTTTGTCTCTTGATATCCGTGATCGGGAGAAATGTAGAAACTATATGACGTTGAACTGGTTTGTTCCATTGATGGAAACGAATATAAATATACATCGGTGATACAAACGAAGAGTCCTCCTAGTGATACACACGAGGAGTCCAACCTAACTAGCCCAATGCAATGAATGTTGCTATTATACATAAAATACATGGGCTAACACTCCCCCTCAAGTTGGAGCATGAATATGAAAAATGCCAAACTTGGACAATAAACAGTGAAATAGAGGACCAGACAACGCTTTAGTGAAGATGTCCACGGAAACGCGTAGGAACATAAGCTGTGACAACATGATTTCACTGGACGCACTCCCGAACAATATGACAATCAATATCAATGTGCTTCGAACGCTCATGAAAGACATGATTGGTGGCATTAAACAAAGCAGATTTATTATCACAATATAAACGAGGAGTTGCCACACAAGAAACATCCAAAGCAGCCAAGAGCCCACACAACCACCTTATCTCGGCACAAGCATTAGCCGTGGCCCGATATTCAGCCTCTGTTGAAGAACGGGAAACGGTAGTTTGCTTTTTAGTGCGCCATGAAACCGAAGAACCACCCAACAGAATAAAATACCCAGTGATAGAGCGTCGAGTAAGCAGACAGCTTGCCCAATTTGAATCAGAAAAAGTAGTAAGAGCAAGATTACTATCACCATCAGAAGATTACTTTGACCAAGATATCCCTTAAGATCCCATAGGACACGAAGAGCCGCGTTCTAATGGTCAAGACGCGGTGCTTGCATAAACTGAGAAAGTGTATGGACTGCATAAAAAATATCAGGTCGAGTAATAGTCAAGTAAAGCAAACGGTCCACAAGACGACGGTAATGTGCAGTTAAAATGGTAAGTGTCCGAAATTATAGTACTCCGGAGTAATATAAAATTTATGTTTTAGAAGTATAATTATTGTATTATATTTAAAATAATTAACTTTCATAATTATGTAAAATTACCATTTTTAAAGTAAGGAAATAAAAATCCAGAAATTACCATTTTTAAAATTTTTCCCCTTTAATGATAAAAATTTAAAACTATTATATTTAATAAGACTGATTGTTATTAAAAGACTCTGGTGCTCCCAATTAAACTATAAGTTTACATTGCTACTCGCACTATTCCTAATCAGCGTTTCTTATGCTTACATGTAAGTAATTATGCTTAGTTGACATCTTAATTGTTCTTTTTATTTTAATAAGAGAAAAAAAATTATATAAATACTCTCTGAAATTCAAAATTTTACAATAATCTCTCAAAACCAAATAAAGATTCCAGTATTCTAAAAAATATCTTCCTTTTACGTGTTATGATGTTTAATAAAAGTGGTGTGAAATCAAAAAATAAAATTATATATCTAAAACTACATTATAAGATCTATAAAACTAGTAATGATATAATTATACTATTTTATCAAATACATAATTAAAATAGATAAGCAAAGTAAATAAAATTTGAATTTCTATGAGTATTTATATAATTTTTCCTCTTATTAAAATAAAAAACAACAACTAAGCATAATTACTTACATATAAGCATAAGAAAAGCTGATTAGAGATAGTGGGAGTAGTAATGTAAACTTATTGTTTAATTAGGAACATCAGAGTTTTTTATTGAATTTGGGAGTATTATTGCGAAATTTCAAATTTCTGAGAGTATTTATATCAATTTTTCTTTAAAAAAAACCGACAAAGGACCATTTGGGGGTATCGTAAGAAGTAATTAATTAAACTGCGGTCCTTATACGACATAGATACTATGATGAGGGCGATGGGAAGAAATTCAAACAAGAGATTGAAATCCGTCACTACGTACGTAATTAATTAGCACGCCATATGTACTTTGCATGTAATCTGCTGCGGGGCGTAGAGTGTGTATATATATATATATATATAGGTTGATATGATGAAGAAATTGCAATAACCAATATATAATTCTAATCAATTAATTACCAAACTCAATTAATTCATTAATTGGTTAAACAAAATGACGAGTTCAACAAAACTAATTAGTGCCGCTCCGACGGTGATGGAAATGGTTAAGACCGACCCGCCGCCTCCTCCTCCCCAAGGTTCGTATACATTCAAATTACGCACTTAAACATATATATTTCTTCATTTTTTTTTGAAAAAAACACATGTTATATTATTGCGGTGTAAGATATATAACTTGTTTAATTTAATTTGTCATGCTTCATTTTATAACATCCAATCGAATTTATATTGAAAATTGGTTTTTTTCTCATTAGCTCTGCAGCTTTTTTTGTTTTGGAAAAAATTGACGCATAATACTCCTTCCATCGCATAATACTCCACTAATAAAAATTGACTACATAAAATAATATAAATAGTACTCCTTCCATCGCATAATACTCCACTAATAATCTGTCGATCGCATCATACTTTTTCACTAAAAATCTGTCGATCGCATCATACTTTTTCACTAGGGAGAAATACGAATATAACACTTTAATAGGCTTATAATGCGAAAAATAGCAGTGCTATAAGTTTTTTAGATGAATTCCCAATATTACCCTTAATTAAACAAATTTGTATTATATATACACTGCCACAATATATACATTGCCACAATATATCTACACTGCCACAATATATATACACTGTCATAATGTTAGCCACAATATGTACTTCCAAAAATTCAATGTCTGAAATACACTGCCACAATATATGCACTGCTAAAAATTCAATGTCTGAAATTCAATGCCACAATATATACACTGCCACAATATATCTACGCTGCCACAATTCGGGCAATCACAGAGCATACTTCTCATAGTTTCTAAGAAAATATTTTAGTTTGTTTATGAAGAAAATTAAATAAATATACCTTCTGAAAAGAACAAGGATTCTAAGATTAAGAGAATAGATATAATATAATACATTGCCACAATATATACACTGCCACAATATATCTACACTGCCACAATATATACATTGTCATAATGTTAGCCACAATATGTACTTCCAAAAATTCAGTGTCTGAAATACACTGCCACAATATATGCACCGCCAAAAATTCAATGTCTAAAATATAATGCCACAATATATACACTGCCACAATATAAAGCTTCCATGAGTATCTCATGTCCCATCAACACGTAGCAATATCGTCAAATTTGGACCCATCTGTGATGCTCCTTTTAAATAATAAAAGAGAAAATATTAAATTAAATTAAATAAAGGAATGAACTCAAAGAATAGATGTATAACCTAATATGCGATGAAAATGTTGGATNATAGTATATATATACATGATAGGCGTTTTAGTCACATTGCAAACTTTAT